GTTCCCCGTCCAAACAGGTGCTAATGAGCTCAAATCCAGCCCCCGGGTAAGCGTGGTACTCGCGTACGGGCCCTCCAAAATTTTTCCCGCGCAAATTCATAACTTGGGGATCTAAGAAGCTAGAAGGCTGAAACTTTAAGGGAATGTTCCCCGTTCAAGTAAGTCTTAACGAGCTCAAATCTAGACATCGGGCGTACGTCGTACCCGCGTGCGGGCCCTTGAAAGTTTTTTCCAGCAAGTTGCTAACTCAGAAGCCAGGAAAACTAGAAAGATGAAATTTTAAGGGGGTGTTTCCTGCCAGTTCTGGCAACCAATCTTAATTAGCTTAGCTTGAAATATTTTCCGAAAAAACTGATTCCGATAGTGACAAAAATTGCGGGGAACTCTGCAAAAAACGCATCTTCGCACGGGCAGCCCGTGCGTTGGCCAATTTTTGCTGGCTGTAACGCTGCACAGCAAAAACGCATAAAAACCATGCAGTTTTTGAGAAAAAAGAACTATTAGAATTTTTCGCCAGAATTTTTCCTACTGGAATCTCTTTCTAAAAAAACTGCCCATATCTGAGGGAATCACAGCAACCTGTCAAACCTGTTAAACATTCGTCATCGTTAATTATTATATCGATTCAGTCACATCATGTTCACACTGATGAAACCAAGAGAAACTCTATATAAATAAAAGTGGGTAATTATAGTCTGCTTGCACCAATTCAGTGTTTCTCAGTGGGTCACTCAATCATCGAGACTGCACGATCCCTCGTCTGATCAAGTAGACGACTAATTAATTTTTGGGGGTTCACATTTCAGCGCATCTGCGGTAAATATTCCAGTCATTCGTATTTGCAAAAAAATTTTTCTCTCGTTGTAAAAGTAACGGCCATCGAAATCGTATTCATTGGCCAACAAAACATTGAAAATACTCTGGTCGAAGTAATGACATTTTGCATGTATTCTGAAATTTCAACCATTAATTGATCATTCTGTATTGGAGCGTTTGGAAGTGCTAAATAACTCGCCTTGTATTCATTCATTTACTGACCGACGCAGTTAATGAGCTGCTGGAACGGTTTCCCGTCACATGAGGGCATCATTCAATGCTGTCCATCATGATTCAAGATGCAATTACAAATATCAGGTTTCTAAAGCCACCATTTTCTATTTGAAATGTCGTGGAATTTGCGCCTTGCGAGGCGCAAGTCGTAGTAAATTTTGTCGTCAGAACACTGCGTTCGTAGCTTTTTTTTCCTTTTTCGGGTTTTCCGAAGTTAAAATGGGATCGAAGGACTTGAAATTTTATTTTGGAGCTTTCTGTGTGATTTTCGCCAAAAATGCACAAAGATTCAGAATACTTCCGAATAATAAAATTTGACATACTTGTGCACATCGGATGTGTTGAACAAGCAATTGCGCGAGAGCACTCTACCACCGGCACCGAGGCCCATACATTCTTTTTCCAAGGCACATGCAACTACCCTGAAGTTCGGCTTTATTACACAACAACGCCTCGCTACTAAAGCTGCCTAATGTCAATCAAAGCTTAGCAAATTTTAGAATTTTTCGGTAAGACATTTTCTTACTTGCCAGAAATTTTCGCCACTTTAATGGAAAAAACGAACAGTTCTTTTTATAGTGGCTTGCATGTAGCAGAAGAGTCGAGGGACTCCTCAAAAAGACTGGCAATAGCCAAAAAGCAGAAAATGTAAGTACGAGCCTAGCACCCGCATCAAGTTCCGGTTACTTGTCAGTGAAGAACAGTAATCAAGGGGCACAACAGTTAAAATATCACGATTCGAGTGATCCGCACATATGAAACATCCTAATCTCGGCAGATATCACTTACCACCCCAACCACTGCCCCCATTTATGGTCCTGAACTCCTGAGCCGCACTTTCATTCCCCTCCGCTATCGCGGCCTCAGCCGTGCCCTCTCAGTTGTATTTGGGTATCTACCAATCAACGCCTCTCAAGCCCTTCAGCAAAACCATAGATGGACTGGAAGGGAAATCGAACTTTTTATCCTCAGCACCTCTAAATTCTTTGAATTGTGATTTGTTTTGATCCTTGTACTGCCTGACCTTTCGGCTCCACTAGATGCGACTGTTCCATTTCTGTAGCATTCCTTCAAGTTCATTCCACGTTTTCAAAATGCGGAAATTTCTCTGATTATTGCAAGTCTCTTACGACAGTTCCGCTGCAGTCTTTATCCTTTAACTGTTCCATTTCGACACTTTCCCTCTCCTTTCTCCCTGAGTCAATGTGTTTTGCTAAAAAAATAAACTGCGACAAGATAGCCGATGCCACCACCCGTTTTGCGCGCAATGACCCAACAGAGCTGGAAAATGCTAGTAACTTCCCGCTTACGCCGCACGTGAAACGCGAGCGTACACGGCTCAAATTTTCCAAAGGAAGAGAGGAATTAACTGGAAATTTCAACTTTCTCTCTTATCTGACTTCCAGGTTAAAAAATTTTCTGCCAATGTTTCACGCGTCCGTTTATGGGCAATGAATTTGAATTCCTACAGTAGCTTTCTGACATTCGTATGAAATTTCAGCTTTCCATGTTGCCTGGTGTTTCCATATTGAAAATTTGGGAAAAGCAGACACACGTAAAAGTTCGGCTAAAATTTGCAGGAGCATATGTGAACATGAAACATTTTTCTTAAAGTTTACCTTCCTAGTTTTTTATGCGTTTTGTGCTGTGTAACAGCAGTACAAAACGCATATTGTTACAGGGTTGTCTGTGT